TGCCAACAGGGCCTCCTTTAAGTCCCGGTAGCAGTGGGCTCTCTCCTCGTCCATGGCAGAGTACGCCTACCAGCGCCTTGCCGCTTAACAGAGGAACGAGTCGACACGCCCATTCATCTTCTGGCCATTTCCAGGTTTTTGCTATCCGTTCAAAACGCAACAGATAGTTCTCCATGTCCTCACCACCCTGGTATTGTGGTATCTTTGGCTCATTATAATGCCTCCAGTCACGTCTGGGTCGGTTTTCAGGGTTTAGAGCTTGGTGCCTTTGCTCCTCACCCTCATCACTCTCATCACCTCCCTGATGAATCCCTGCGTACTGCATTCGCTGGCCAGCAGGGGTCGGTAATCCAATCATTGGGCTCCTGTCGGACAGTGACAATGATGCCTGAGACTGGGCACGTGAAACGGGAAAGTGTGGAACCGGCCGATCTCTGGACAAAGGCGGTGGAGAAGACGGAGGGTTAGACTGAGCATTCCCCAGCCTCCGGAGTTCTACCAGCAACCCTTCTTCCCGGCGTTGCTGTCCAGCCAGAAACTCCCTCATTAACATCACCATATCCTGTCCAGGCTCCGAGAATGGCCCGGGTTTGACTTCCGGTTTCTCTTCCTCATCCTCGATTTCCCATGCTGCTCCAGCGCCCCCTGGCTGTTGCACATGGCTCTGAGACCGCAAACCTGTGCGCTTGGGTAAACGAACACTTTTCTTCCGGCTTGCCATCCCACTTCTGACACCATCTGTCGTGGGTTACTTTAAAAAAAATACAGGCGAGCTCGGATTGCAGTGATTATTTGTGCTTTTATTTTCCCCAAAGTGCGTAAAAACTGGTACAGGCAGTGCAGAGCATATGTACAGTGAATTTAGCAGAAAAAAACAACAGGTCCACTCGGACACATAGGTCACCTTTAATGGCTCCAGGTAGTTACCTCCTCTGTAACCAGCGGCAGACTGACGGGTGCCAGACACGGCTCTCCTTTATAGTCCCCTTTGCTCCTCCCATTGAGCAAAATAAATTATTACAAATAGGACGTATAAACAGGGAATACATATATGGACCCATTCCCTATTGGTCCAACACAAAAACCTATACTCTACAATGAAACATTAGGCCATTATAAGTATATTTAATCTTGGGGACAATTCCCCACGCTCCCAGGGCACATTTAACCCGCCAGGAAGTATGGTCCTGGTTTGATCCTCGCGCACAGATGCAGAGGAGCACGACAGACCGGTACGTGTATGAATGTATGCTTAAATGTATTTCTAGCCCGCACAGTGTGCACCCCTGGGCGAACTAGTAACTGAGGGAAGAGAGGGACAAGAGTATGGATGATGCGTGTGGCTGTTAAGCATTAATGGAACGGAGGGAAAAAGGGGTGCGCGCGTTTGGAATGGCGTGTGTGTGTGCGTGCGTGCAGGTGCGCGTGTGGCGCATGCGGCACTAAAGTCAGCCTTTACTTTAAAACTACGTAACTACAGACGGACCCGCTCCGTCACAGATATACAAGAATTGAATTGTATTGAATTGAAAGTTGGATTCTCTAATCTGCTGTTGACAAAGCAATGACTTTGTAAAGTCTCCAGAGACAGCTGCTGTTGTGATTTAGGGATATGGGCCTAATGGTGGCTGAGTGGATAGCACTCTCGCATCTCAGCAAGAAGGTTCTGAGTTCGAATCCCTGTCAGAACAGGGCCTTTCTAAGTGGAGCTTACATGTTCTCCCCTCTGCATAGGTTTCCTCCGGGTACTCCGGTTTCCCCTACCACTAGAAAAATGTAGCGTGACTGCATTGGTGGAGCTGAAGTTGGCTGGATGACAATGTCAAAGTGCCTCGATGGCAACTTTGTGTTAACAGCAGATGGGTAACATAACATGGCACAGAGGGCCGCAATTGGCCCGTGGGCCTGAGTTTGGACATGCCTGGCCTAAGTCCTGCGTCTAAAGCCTCAGTCCTAGATCTACATCCTCAGCCCTGCTTCCTTCTTACAGTCTGCTGTCCCTAGCTCTGTGCTCACACTTGTCAGAGGACTGTGTGGTCAACTCCTCACACATCTACAGCTCTTAAGATGAGTAGAGCTGCTCTTGTTTGTTCTTCTTGCTGACAGTTGGATTTGCAGCCTCTAATTCTCACAGAGAGAGTCGCCCTCTAGTGGAGACACTGCACTATTGTGTTGTCTTTGCTGCAGAGGTTTTTGTTCAGAGTTTTGGTGTTTCCTGTCAGTGTGGGCCGCAGAGCACAGTAGTACACAGCAGAGTCAGTCACATTCACAGCCTCCATCTTCAGAGACACAGAGTTCCCCACGACCACAGCACCGAACTTGGATCGATCAAACTCTGGAGAATTGATGACGCCTCCGGGATAGATCTTGATCATGTACTTTGGAGGTCCTCGTCCTTCCTGCTTGTACCAGTACAGATATGGGAAGCGATCAGTGGTTGTAAAGTTGCAGGTGAGTGTGTGAGTGTGTCCCTCTCTCACTCGGTCCTCTCCTGCTGCCTGCTTCACTGTGTATTGTCCGTTACACTCTGGAGAAGAACTCAGCAGCACAAGCAGAGCTGAGAGCAGTGGACACAGGACACACTCCATCTTAAAGCTCAGATCCTCTCAGTGTGTGCTGCTCTCTTACAGTCTGCTGTCCTCAGCTCTGTGCTCACACCTGTCATTTCCTGTATCAGGCTGAGAAGTGTGTTCACCCTAGTGGTCAAGTGCTGCTACTGCTGATCTACATGTCCTGGAAAACGTGAAGTCCACATGGATAGTACAATACAAATCTGTTTATTTAAAACAATATATTTAGTGTATAATAAGGGCCCCACAAGGATTCTACTGAAAAAAGGACCACTATGATCACTTACTTTAAATTACAATAATCACTGTTTCTAGTTCACTGTGTATTTGTGTATATCGACAGCTGTTGTATTCACTCGTCACACATCCACAGGCTGCAGGATGAATAGAGCTGTGCTCTTTCCTTCTTTGTTTGACATGTGTGTCAAGTTCCACTTTTACTTGTCTGAACATTGCTATTAACTCATGGTCCCTCAGTCAGTTTCTTACACCCGAGGAGGAGACCAGAAGATCAGACTGGGAGTCTACACCCTTGACTCTAGACCTGTGAACCAGTCCCAGTCCAAAACCCTGACTCTAGATCTATGGACTAACCTCTGTCCACACCCTAGATTTCTCTAAACCTGTGGATCAATCCAGTCTGCACTCTGTACACCATATAAGGTCATGTCCAGAAACATGTGAGTGTATGAAGTCCCCAAATGGATAGTACAAATATAAATCTGTGTATTAATAACAATATATTTGGTTTGTTATAAAGTTTCCACAAGGATAGTACTATATAAAGGATCATTGTGATAACACTAATGTTTTCTGTTTCTAGTTCTACGTCATGGTGCTACGTCCCTTAGGACTTAACATCCGCCTCATTTTGGCTCGTGCACAATGGTTGGGCATACCCAAATGTCTTTGCTTATTTAAAAACACATCTTACATCTCACATGCTTGTGTGATGCATCATTTTAAAGCTAGAGCCTTTTAGTTTATGTAAAAAAACACTAAAATAATGTTTGTCATTCCTATTTTCCTCTGCATCCTTTGAAGTTAGGGAAAAAAACCCAATTTTTTTAGCCTCGCCTAACATTTTCAATTTCTAAAGGCCCTAAAAAAGGCAGACTTCATTGTAAGTTCACAATATTCAAACCCTCTGTTCATTGTGTTGTTGACAACAACTGTCTAAAGTTTCAGACTTCTAAGTTTTATAGTTTTTATGCAGTTTCTCCTTTTCATCAAGTTAGTGCACATTTGGCACAATTTGGCACAAGTGTGCCAAATTGTGCCAAATATCTTTACTTACATTTAATCATCATAAAAACAATATTTTTTTATTATTGGTACTTATAAGTTACTAATCTATATGTGTTTTTTTCTTTTTAAATGTCAAAGTTATTTTTTTATGAGTGTAAATTCATTGCAGCTTCGGGAGCGTCTTTTGGCTTCCATGACGCACAATTGTCCAGGGACAACATAAGACAGGACACCATTGTCCCACCCCTTGTTCGAAAGCTTTCCTCATTGGCTACAAGGACATGTCAATCGTAAATCCCGGAAGTAAACGTAAACAAGTTGGGACCCCACAAAAGATCAGTGAAGCATGCGCAAACAGCAGCGCAAGCTGTACTTGCAGCGGCTCTTGCAGACCCAAAAATTGGTCTAGCTTTTCGGGAGTAGTCTCATTTGAAAGATAAGGAGCTAAGGAACACGTAGATACCAGATGTTTGGGTGAAAAACAAAGCTAAAAGTCCGTTAAAAGTGAAAGAGTAACATCTGTGCTCTTTTTTTTTCGTTTTTTTCGCTAAAGATAAATGCACATTTTTGGATTATTTCTGCAGAATGGATTTTACTTTGGGAAATACAAGTGGATATAATTTTCCTTTGGACTGTTCCAGAGAGAATGATGTATTGCAAGCTGGGAGGAGAGCTGATTTATTTGTACAGCACAAGCTCAAAGGTAAAGAACTATTTCCGAATTGATTTATTTTGTGCCCACATTATGTGTTATATCTTTTGAATGCAAAGTCTGATGTAGTTTACACTTGTATATAAATGTAGATAAGAAAATAAGCTTTAAAATGATATACAGCTTTTGGGGTTTGGTGTTCAAAATACATCTGCTATTGCCAGCAGAACATTTAAAAACATAAAAACAGCCCGCCGGCGGGTTGGTGGTTGCTAAGTGGTTAGGACTTCGCTAGTGGGATATCACTCGTGACCCCCAGGTCACACGCCAGAGAGATCAAAATAATTTGCTCCAATCACCAGCCACCGTCCTCTATAAATGCCCCTGCACAAGGCCGCACCCCCTCTTTCACTCTGGCGCCGATTGAGATCTACCACGGTACTCACTTCCAGAGAAAAAAGATGTCTTCTGATGCTCGTCCGAGTTCCCCTTCACCATCCGGCGTCGGACGTCGTCGTTGCTCGACGTGTCGAGTCAGGCTCCAGCGCACGGACCAGCACTCCAGCTGCTTCATGTGCCTGACCCTGGGCCATGCGGCGTTGAGCGCCACCTGCACCTCGTGTCTCGCTCTCCCCAGGGAGGAGAGCGAACGCAGGCGTGCGTTCCTCGCCGCTGCAGCGCCCCGTCCGGACTCCTCTCAGGACGAGGAGTCTGAGACTGACTGGGCCCCACTCGACCTTCCACCCGTGCCCGCGGAGTGGGGTGACTGTGAGGACGGAGAGGTTTCGGAGGTCGGCTCCCTCCTCACCCTGGACGAGGTGGTCTCGAACCCGGAGCCGGACCGCTTCCCACTGGACCACATGCCTGGGCTCTACTCCTCCGCGGCGGCCATCATGGATGCCCCCCTGCCACCGCAGCCGACCCAGAGGGCGGAGGACTTCACCTCTGATTACGCCACCACTCGAGGGAGGAGGCGGATACAGCCCACGTTGTGCCCGCGGATGGACCCGATCGTCCATTACGCGACACGTGAGTGGCCAAAGCCCCTAGCAGCCAAGAGGCCCGCTTTGGGCTACGGCATGTACTGCA